TCGGTTTTCCATGGAAAGTACTCAGCCACTGCAGTATGTGTCCTAAAGCAGTCAGCCTAGATATTTGGACAAAAATTGTAGAAAAGCTTAACTAGAATAAATACTTGTAAGCTCTAGTGAATTTGCTGTGGTATTCCGGACTTACCACATGGAGCTGTGTACTAAATAAAGTCAATAATTTAGTGGCCGGTCCTAACTTCTGCTGCGTGAAGCTGCCCTTGTTGTTTTGTCACAGCTACGGCCCCATTTTTCTCCCCTAATTTGTTGTGCTTTCTCAGTGAAATTGAATCCCGCGTCATTTCAGGCAAAGTCTGGGAGAAGTTGTTTTCCTCGGTGCAGATGGGCTCTTTCCTCCAGATGTGTCGGGCGGCTTGGAGCTGCCTCTGTCTTTTCTTAACCCTTCTGCCCATCTCAAAGTCACGGCCTCCGTCGCACCGTGGTTCTTTTCTTAACCCTTCTGCCCGTCCTGAAGTCACGGCCTCCGTCGCACCGTGGTTCTTGCCCCGTTTCCAAATTTCCTGTGACCGCAAGCCGCCGTGCGTGTCAGTCACACCACAGGCCGCACAGGCTCCTCTGACCCACTGGAGGTTTCTTTGGTTTGTTTGGTTTTCTCCTCTTGACTGTTTGTTTTAACAGGGACCAAGTAAAATTCACGTGCGAAGTAAAATTCGCGCGCGTGTAAAATCCATCCCCTGGGACACGTCCTGGCTGGAAGCTCCTGTGATGAACTTGGCTCTGGTGAGGCTGCAGCCCTTCGTCTTGGCGGCTGCAAATGTTCCAGCCTCACATCTCCAGCCCCGAAGCAGCCAAGGGGAACCTGTACCTTTGCCGTTTCCCTTCGCTCTGCTTTGTTTCGTTGTGGGAACACAATGGGCTGTCAAAATTTCCTGCCCTCGTTTCCACAGGAATCCTTCCTTTCGCTCCAAAAAGGATTATTTATCTAAAACTGCTAATTGCATAAATTGTCAGAACAATTGTTTGACTTGATTTTAAGGTGGAGGGCAAAGAGATGTAAAAGTCTGGTGGACTGATGGAAGTCGCCCTCAAAGTCCTCTGTCAAAGTGAAAAAGAGAGTCTGGTCTGTTGCCACGAACAGCCCTTGCCTCAGAAATTAAAAACCATGTAGTGTGGTGTTCATCTGGATCTGCAATCCCCGATTTTAGTATCTCTGGTGAGTGTACTTAGAGGTAATTAAAAGTAATAGGGAAGAATATAAATGTTTTCCAAACAAGTGAGCCAAGAAAAAAATGGAGGAAGGCAGGTGTGGTTGATTTAACCCACCACCACTTCCTAACTAATCTTTCTCTAATGATGTAGAAAGAGACTAGGTGGCACCTGGCAAAGTATTTTGAAATAACAGATTCATGAGGTAGAGCTACTTGATAACATCTTTGACTCATCAGAAACTTGCCTTTCCTGAGGGTAAAGTTAATAATCCTTGAATATAAGGATTTTAGTGGCTTTTACTTAAGTCAGAGGGGATGAAGATTTATTCTGCATATAGATTCCTATAGTGATAGAAACAGACCAAACTTTTATTCTCTGTAAAAAAAAAAAGTAAAATGACACAAATAGCCAATCAGAACCACCAGTGATTTTCCATTACTTCAGGTCATCAGCTTTGCTGGTTAAGTAAAACTCATTCTCATTTCCTTAGTTTGAAGAACGTGGAGCTGGTAGCAAGTTTATCGATCATCATGTATAGTCCTTAACTATTTCAGGTCATCTTTCAGTGTTTATAAAGCCTATGCCATTGGCTGCTTCAACTGTTTTCACCTCCTCCTTTAGAATGATGTTCTAACCACCTAAATGGCTCTTTTCCCACTCTGTTGCTTATCAACGGTGGGCACTCCAGGGTGATTTTATGAAATGGCTCTTTAGTGCCTTGATCATCTTCCCAGAGGTCCTTCTCTCCACTTTTTCCAGGAGGAATTCAGCTTTCTCAGAGGTGGTATTTCAGATGGACTTACCTCAAGTGCTTTGACTGATGGCATCCATACCTCCCTTGCTTTCCCTCTCTTTACTGGAATTACCTTGCGTGAAGAGCGTACATAGGGGTCTGAGTTGGCTGGTCTTTAGTTCTGTAGGGGACATCAACAGCACCATGAGAGGAAGCTGGACTACCAGTAAAATGGAAATGGAAACTGCAGGTAGCTGGGCCATAGAGCAGTTGGGGCAGATAAAGTGACAGCAACGGTGAACTTTATTTAAAATATCCATAGCTGTATATACCTGCTATCTCCCAGCTGTGAGTCTCAGCAGTGTTCTCCTAATTCTGTGTCAAAATTAGCAATAAAAAATGTTAAGACCATTCCCAATACGAGGGGTCTTCTGCAGATTGTGCAGTAATTGTTCCCAAGCAAAAGTTTCCTTTCAGTGCACCCTGTTATCTTCTTTTAATCTTTTCCAATTTCAATTTTTGTACTGATCTCTTGCCTTCTCTTATATGTTTAACAAAGTCCATATGGTTGAAATGCACTTACAGTATTGATTTTTTTCCTCTTGTCTTTCCTCCTCAGCTATTTCATTTGAGGTAATTAAATGTCAAGTTTTATCTTGTATGGTCTACTTCTGGCAAGCCCGCATTGTGTTTTCTTCAGTGTTCCTGTTGTCTGCCTACCTTTAGTGTTCTCTTCATCAAAATTTGGGGTCGTGCTATCAAGATCAGAGTTAGGCAATTTTTTCGATGATGTATGATTTTGTTATTCTGTAGTACTACGGTACCTCTCTCGATCGGAGAGTTATTTTATGTCTGGAAAAAAAATCAGTCTTTCTGGGTTTAAAGTATCGTATGTCTTGGGTTTTTCTCAGATTTTTTGGAGTTTGAATTTCTCTCTTTTTTTTTTTCCCCAAAGCATCTGTTGGTTTAGTCACGTGTCTCTCAGTACGTGAACGCGGAGGATTATTTTGCATTTTCCTGCTAATTCGTTGATGCGCCCGGAAAAAAACAAAAGCCTCAATCGGGGCACGCGCCGAATTTACACCCGTTCTTAATTTGCCGATGCTTGCGTTAACGACAGGCTGAAGCCTGTCTGAGGTTTTTTTTTTTTGGGGGGGGGGGTTATATAATGTATACCATACGCCTGCCATTCTGACTTTTTCCTGCACGAGTCAGCCAATCTGATGGGGCTACCTGTGGCGAAGAGCAGCGCTCGTAGAGCCCGGGTGCTGCCTTGCGAGCTCTGACTCACGGCCGCTGATGAATCTTGCTTCTCCAGCTCTTTGCTCCACCCTTCTGCCCTCGGACAGAAGGATCCCAGAAGGGGAAGAGAGAGGTTTATATACCTCCCTTGCCACCGAGTTGTTTTGAAGCGTGGTTTTAAGCCGCCGATGAAGGTAGAGCCACGGTGTTATGGGAGCTGGGAAGCGCAGCAGCTGAAGAGCAGGCAGAGGTTTGCAGCCCCTGCCCCGGCTACCAGGAGGGGTAAGTGGGGTCAACAGCAGCTCCCATAGTTTTGGGCTGCTTCCAGCAGGGTCTGTGTTCAGGGAACACGTGTTCTGTCGCTGGGAATGGGGAAGAAAAAAAAAAAAAAAAAAAAAAAGGGAAGCGAAAGTCAGGGCGAGAGAAAACAGATTTATGTTTGTAATCAAAAAGTGACTTGTTTGAAATATTCTTAATTTGAGTGCACGCTCCTATGTCTTTCGTACCTCTAAGGACCCCTAGAGGGCACGGAAGTTTTTCTCCATCTCGAATATTTAATTTAATAGTTCTACTTGGCTTTCTTCCCTGAAACGTAATTATAAGCACATTTTAAGTGAACGTTAGATAGAAAAAAAATAACAGCATCTAACCAGGTCCTTCTTTTATGCTGCAAGATGTATTCTTGTTTTTAAACACAAGCAGTAGAAGCTAGCACTGGCAGCCAAATTCTTAAATTATTTTTGTTTCGATTAGTCAGATGCTATATTCGTATCCCAGAGGAAGCACAATTCAAACTAACTAATAATTCATAATTTTATTGCAAACTTTGGGAGGCCGACAGCGTGAGCTGGCTGAGGAAGCGCGGTGGGTTATGCTTTCAGCACTACAGCCTGTGTGTCTGCAGAGGAGGAAGCACTAGCTGAACCTCCAAAATCTCCATACTTCATCATATTTAAGATTTCTTAATATTTTGGTCTTGTTATTTGCCTATAAAAAAATGATTACATTACAGTAGAAGACATTTAAGGTTACAGAAATGTGAAAATGACATTTGCTTCCCACTACTTCCCATCTAAGTAAGAGATTTTGTAGCTCTTACTCATCCTGAGTAGCATTTTTCTCCTTCAATCAGTTTTGCCTGTTTCATCAATATTACGTGGTGAGTCAGGTACCAATCAGTGTCAATTACGCAGCGATACTAATTCGTAGTATTGAGTTGTCACTTTCTGATATTTAAATATACAACCTAGAGCTCTGGTGTAATGCTTATCTGAGAACATCAGGTTTCTCTTACATAAAGCAGCTTCGGCGTTTGAGGAGAAGGCTGACGTTTTCCAGAGTGCTCAAAGAGCAGAAGGTAAAACAAAAACAAATGATCAAACAAACAAAAAAACACCTAAAAAAATCTTACTATTTTGTTTGGAGATTTTTTCATCAAGTCATGGTTTTGAGACCGGTTGCAAGAGCTTTGGAGGACAGTCAGACTGTGACCCTAGTCCAAGGTTGAGACCTTTGTGTGCGTGGTGCTGTGGCAGCCAGAATACAACTGGTCTTGTCTGGGCAAAAAACTGGACCTCTACACTGTTCCTGAAGCAGCAAGAGTCTACTTACTGGGCAAGGAGCTCTTCAAACCATGAACACGAGGGGGTTTTTGTGCCTGTGCTCTGAAAAGAGGATCAGCTGTACTGCTTTACCCAATTACCCAGGGATGTCATGGGAGATGATTTTTTTGGACCTTGGTTTTCCCACTGGAGGAGCGTAACGTCATCGCTTTTGAATAGAAAATAGCTCTAGATCTAAACAGCAGAGAAGAGGCAGCTGCCCCTTGTAACGTCTCCGGGGATTTTGTGTTTTGCAGGAGATGCACGGGTGAGAGGTCAGACAGGGGTTCTCTCCGAGCGCCGCGGCTCCTACCCGTTTATCGACTTCCGTCTTCTTAACAGTAAGTGCAACCTTTCCTCCAGGTCCCTACTTAAAAATATAAAAAACAAAAACCTGTATTGAAAGTACGCAAACCAAAATATCTGATTTCATACATTTCTGTAGTTCAGCAGGCTTCCTACAGTCAGCATTAATAATTCTGTTATTTCCACCCAGTGTTTGGCTGTGAAATGTTTTGATTTTACGAACACTCTCCGTAATGCTGAGTCTGTCAAGTGAATACAGCGGTGCCATGGGGTGTGCTGGGGGGAGCACGGGGTGCTTCAGAATTAAAAAGATAAACCTCTGTGTCCTTTAGCCTCTTAGCCAACAGTTGGAACAGATTTATGTGAGTCTGTTATCCGGTCATATAGAATTGGCACAGAAGGGGAGCATGTGACAGCACTGACCAGTGGTTTACAATAACATTAATTTTTCCAACAATTAGAACCCAATCCAAAGCCCCATGGAGTCTTCTCATTGACGTCAATGGATTTTGGGTCAGGCCAGCAGTGAACATCTGTTAAAAATAATCTTAACCTCATTTTGATTGAAGTTATTTTGCCACTGTTGTAAATAAAGGAGGGCAGTTCTAAAAGGAAAAAAAAAATATATCCAGATCCTGTTGTTTTTTTCACCTTGCATTCATTCTCTGTGTTGATGCAAGCCATCAATGTAGAGAATATTTTAGCTGGTCTATAAAACAAAATAAAATAAAATAGCAAGTCTTAGTGTTAGGCCCTGTAGCATTCAGCCTGGATGCTGTGTTAACTCCAGTGTTCAGGCACAGGCAGATCTCAATGAGTCCTTGTCTTCTGCCCAGACCACTCCATGTAACCTTTGAAACATAAGTTATTCACTGTCTTCATCAAAACGGACTGAAACTCCAACAGTTCATTTAGTGATGACACTTCTAAGCTTCTAGTGATGATGCTTCTCATTAAAAAGCAATCATCAAACTAAAGTTTTACATCTCCTTACGCACTGCTTTCCCAAGTGCCTGGGGAAGGGGAGGGAAGGAAGGTGGCAAAGAAGGGGGGGGGAAGAATCCCAGCCCCAAAGGGTGAGCTCTGGCTGGGAGTTGGGAGAAAAGAGGGGCAAAGAGGAAGGGGAGGACTTATTTCTATGACTTAGTCTCTAATGGGCCCAGCTGGCAAAGCTACTGCTCCCTGGCAAGCTGCTTGCTTTCAGTCTTGCTGATAAACGGTATTTTTATGGTCATAAATCCATCAGAGTGCTTGCTATGGCTGAGGTAGAAAGATATAAGGGGTAAGACGAGTCCAGCAGTTTTGCCTGGACAAAGGGAATAATACTGGTGGAGCAGAGCTCTCAGGATAATTTAGTCCCGGCTTGCCATTGGAAAAGGTGAAGAAAAACCTGTTCTAGGCTTGCTGGAAACATTGCTGTTGATGCCCTTAGAAAGACTGAGAGAAAATAAAACACTTATTTTAATTCCTTTGCCAGGAAGTAGAGAGACTTTTATATTATTTGCTCATGGACCTGTCAAGTCCATTTCTGCTGTGCATACCATGTAAGTAGCAAAAACCACGGTGCTGCACATGCTATAAAAAAAAAACCTATGTAAATGTCAGTACTGCAAACTTTTTGGAAAAATGCCCAACTAATGCTTAGAGTAAAATTTTGGCACATTTGTTTTTGAGGCAATAACAGACAGGCAGCAACCGTATAGCGAAAGTAAGGGAGGGATGAGGCAGAGAAGATTTTATGGTAAATAAAATACCATAACCAGAAGTTACAAAGAAATGCAGCATAAGCATTGCTCCAGCTTCTCACTGATTTGGGCAAATTGAGCTTAAATGGTGATTGTTCCCTCTACCATCTAAATTATTATTCTGAATAACAGTACCACCCTTGTTTTAAAATAAGGGAAAGCACTGAAGCTCATTCTTGAACAGGGTTGACATTCATTTTGAAAATTGACATTTAAAAAAAAAAAGACTCGGGGCATTGCTTTTTAATGTCAGACTAAAGGTTACTTAAACGTAACTTTTTTAACATACTTACAGATTCAGTTAAACTAGTGGATTTTTCCCTACTGTGGCTATTAAGGGTTAACACCCAGTAGACCCTCTCTTTTGTTTTTATTCTGGAGTCCCGCAGTAAAGTCTCTGTGTAACTTAAGACACCGTTAAGTCTTTTTGGATGGGAAAACTTCCTGTGCTCTGAAAATGGGATCTTCTGTAGCCCTAATCAAAGCCAACTGGATTAATGTTGCCTTCGTGCTGTTTGAGCTAATGCCTGGGATGCCCTCTACGTGTTCCTCCGGTGCCTATATAGAATATATAGAGAATATATAGAAATTTAGGGAGTGTTATTTCACCTTGTCTGTGCCAGGCTGCCAGGACCATGAGGATTTTGCAGGATCCTTCCTAGGCTTTAGCATCCTCCTGTCTTTCTTCTGCCTGGTTCCTGGCTTTCCCGGAGGCTTAGTTGAGCTGGTGGGTTTGGGGACTCTTCAGGCGATTCTGAAATACAAAATTGAACGTGAAATATCCTCATGTCACAAATAAGGTGTTCCTTAAAATGGGAACAGCAGAATTAGAAAAGACTTAGCGTTAGAAACTTATTTTTCAGGAGAGATGTGAGGGAATAGGGAAGTGTTAGGTGCCATCAAGTGGGTGAATACAGTGTATAAATGGTGTAAGACTGGTTCCAAATCCAACCTCACAAATTTTAGTGAAGGTTGACTCAGTAGCTCTACCTTGTAACTGAACCTAACATGGGTTGAAATTAATGATGGTAGTTTATTGGCACTTTTACATTCCTGTGAATTAAATGAGCCTTCTTGCGTTCACGGGACAGAAAAGGAGTTAAACTGAATGTGTGCAGTGTGATAATTCAGAATTCGGAACAATTCTGCAGTGAAAATTAACTTGATCCCATTTTCCTCTTAGCAAAGCATAGTTCAGATTTGAGAAATAAAGGACCGTAGGGTAAGGCAGCAATAATTTATTTTTCTGATTGACAAAGTTGCTCAGTGAGTCATTAAACCAGATCCCTGCACTGACTAATGTGTGTTGATTAAAATAGATTTCGTTATCCCATGGTGAGTCTTGCTGGTGACTGTGATGGTGCTTTTCTTCGCTGCATTAACCAAGGGTTTGAGGGAATTCCTTGTGATAAATCTTGAATTGTGGGTGAGTTTGCCACAATAACCAAGCAGACCGCACCCTGCTCCAGTTATATTAGATGCTTTGTTTAATTGCCAGACAAAATTAAGTGGAGTAACAAAATAACATAGTTTACATCTGAGATGAGTACCTTCTTATTTAAAAATTTGCTTGACAAGCTTAAAGTCAGAAGATAAGGAGATTCTTCAGATTTAAACAGTGATTCTCCAGTTCTCATCTTGTTTATGCTAAGCTTTTCTCTGGATTTAATTTTTGCTTGCAAATGACAGACTTATGAGCCTCTAATTTACATATGTCTGTCGTGGAATAATGCAATTAAAATTGTTTCTGTTTGCATTTTTAACGACTATATTTACATATGTCTGTCGTGGAATAATGTAATTAAAATTGTTTCTGTTTGCATTTTTAACTTTTCCTAAAAGTTCTTCATTAGGGGCACTTTGGTTTTGTCACAGGATCAGTCATGCTGTAGCTTTCCTTATCTTGCACCCACTTGAATTTTCTTCTCTATATATTGATTATATTGATCTAGGAGGGGTGACGAGGGAAGGGAAAGGAAGTTGTATGTGACCTGTGAAGTGGAGTCTCTGTACCAAAATGGTGTTACCCAGAGAGATTTATCTTTTCTCACGCCTTACACAACAGAAACATAGAGTGGGATCTGAGAATACTGAGTCACCATCCCTGGATGTGTTTAAGGGACGTTTAGATGGGGTACTGAGGGATATGGTGTAGGGGAGGACTTTGTAGAGTAGGGTAGATGGTTGGACTCCATGATCCCAAGGGTCTTTTCCAACCTGAATGATTCTGTGATTCTATGAATATCTAAAAGGTCAGAACATGTTCGTAGACACTCCAAAAGTTAAACTGCCTGTTACCTAGGATCTGGCCATTAGCATGCAAGCAGAAGATGAGTCCAAAAAAAAAACCCACCACCTGCTTTAAGCTTAGCTTAGCAAATTAAGTAAGTATAGATGATACACTTTTAGTACCAGATGGTGTTAAACAGTGACATTAGGTGATAATCACTGATACTAATGATATTCAGTCTCTGTCCTTTATGTCTGATTTGAGTTAAGCAAAATCCTCTGGTTTTCAGTCTGTTTGCAAATAAAATGATGCTTTGCAGGCATGCGACGAATTAGGTACCGCAGAAATGAGAACTGTTGTCAGGGTTAGTAAGGGAAGATATGAACTCATGAAAAAGTCTTCCATCTCAAAGAACCAAATTCTGTGGACATTTGGATCTGTGGTTTCTGCCTGTCTACAGACAGGTCCATTTGCAAAATTTACATTCACTTTTGGGTTTGGGTTTTGAACAACTCCAGAGCTTTCAGGTAGGGCCCATCTCCAGGGAAAATAAAACTTAACCACAGCCACCAACCCAAAACTGAACCATCAAGTAATCTGAACCCAAATGAGTGAGGTTAAAAAGAGTTTGGTTAACTGTCTTGTTTTGTTGCCCTTGGCTAGAAAAAGAAGTGGGAGTGAGAGATGCCTTTTTAGATATTTCTGACCCAGGTTAAATTAGGACACTTAAAGTCTTGGGAGGAAGTTTCAAGGGCTGATTGGATTACTCGGATCCCAACCCAGCCCGTGGAGATGAGTCCAAAGTTCCAGATGGTTATTAAATTAGAAAGGGAGAGATCTCATGAGGTCTGCATTATTTCTACATAATACCTCCCTTGGTTCCTCATGGATAAGCACATCCAAAGATACTCATTAACATCCTGAAGGCACGCAGGCTTCTTAATCTGGTTAGCTTATGTCTGGTTTGAATGGGAGGAACGTTTCCAGAACTGAAGTTCAGGCCTTGCTTTCTGTTTCCTATTCAAGGAAGAGGAATTGGGATTCTCTTAAGAATGTTTCA